CGTCTGTTTCATTAATTTTTCTTTACTGCTTTCCAAAAGGGTACAAACGAAGAATGCACTCCATTACCAAGCCGACTTTCAGATTTTTTTTTCAAACGATGATTTGGCTCAATTCCGCTAACTACATCATTAAATTAATGTTACCGTAATCACTATTTTGGTTCCGTCAAGCCAAATACGACTTTTGGGTAATATGAGGGTTTATAGTCACATAATTTAATCCAAAACTACCAAAACTAAGCCGATTTTATTTTTTCAGGACCAGTCTATACAAGTACTATTGTAAACATGTCTCTATGTTCATGTTATATAATATAATACCTAATGTATATATTTAATATTTTTTATGTGTTGTTATTCTTCACTAGGCGGGTGCCTAATAACGGCGGTATGGACAGTATCAGTAATTAATTAATTCAAAAGGTTCCTAGATTTTAAATAAATGGCTTATAATAAAACAAAACGCCGGAACATGTAAGGAAGAAACCTGTTTGGTAATTCTGCCCGTTGATCTGTACAGAATACAAAATCTTTTTTGCCCAAAACAAGCAGAGTAAAAAGGGTCTTAAGTCTGTTACGAGTTATAAGTACTTTTTATATTTTTTAGGGTTGTAGGGGATCAATATTAAAACGTTTCCTGCTATTTTTAGGTCAATACTTTTTGTTAACATTAGGCAGATTACTCTAAACCAGCTGTATTTTCTTTTTATAAAGGGCATTAGGTACATGTAATTTATGCAAAAAGTTAAGTTTTAGCGAATTAAAATTGCACATCGATATCAATAACAAAAAAAAACTTAGGCTTTGTAAGTAGTTAATATTTTTTATCGCAGCATCTTTGACATTACGTTTGATTCATTGTTATTTACCTTAGGCTTTCGTTAGGTCTTTTTTCCACTAGGAAACAGCGATTAAACTAATGCACAGTGCCACAGTGCGTTTATTAGTTGTATCCTCTCCTAAAGCGATCTGTCTCTGCTGCTTTAGACCGCTTCAGAACTTCGGAACTCGTATTAAAAAATTAGTCTAATTTTTGAGGTCTCCACGTTTAACTAAAATATTGAATGTAAAAGCAATTGAAATTCAAACAATAGAATGTTATAAAAAGTTTAACTAACTAAGGGTTCTAAATAAAATTCATTATATATTGTGTCGACGGTTCATCCATCCCGGAATCGACGATTTACGTCAATTTTCTATAACAATACCTACACGAATGCCCTGAATTAGAAAAGATAAATAACATTTATATGTAATACAATAAATTACAGTGTAAGCAGTTAGATAGGTATTTACTTAGGTACTTTCAAGGAAATAATCAACGTACTTAAATGAATACATTTAAGTATATGTAGATAACCACCGAATATTGCAATGACGAAAATATGTCACATTGAAAGACATACTTGACTTTGCAGTGCAAAAAACCTTTCCACTGCCACACATCGGTCTACATCGCGGTTAATGCTCCGACAGCAAATGTTAATTAATTAATATCAAAATACATGCTGTCGCTACAACTACACGGTTATCTGATATTCTCCTTGAATTGTGCAATGTGATCGTCCTTTTTACAAAATTCCATGATTCTAAATCAACGGGAACTAGCATAACATAAGTTTTCATTAGTTAGCAAATATCAAAAAAAAAATATTATGAGATTGCAATTTTTGGATTTTTACTTTATTGTTGTGCTCTATCGTACTAGTTCTGACCTTGATATTGCCAAATTACGTAATACTTGATGGATGTAGTCTTTTCTGTCTGGGTCCACATCTTTCTTATTTCTGCCACCATCGCATCGCTCTATGTCTGTGTTCTCGTCTGAAGACAACCAGGATACTTAATTTTAGACTGTGAGGCGCTCCATCTTAGATCTCAGAGGTGACAAATCTGTAGCTTATCAACGAGAGGCTGTGGAAAAGAGAGAGCAATCCAATATTCTCAACCTTTCATATACCCTGAAGAGAAGGCTAAGTGCCTATAATTATATGTGTACAAAATCACAGCCCTCGTAAATCACTGGCTTGTACTCGTAATAACTCTAATAATAGTTCTGCCACCATGGCTGCAACGCCTATGGTGGTTCTTCCACATAACGTGGAAGAACCATGCTGCAGCTAAATTATGGTTGTAGCACTAATGGGTCGGCTCGACCGTAGAAGGACCACACTCTTAAAGAATACCAGCGTAAAATAGCAATTTGATGCTGCTGTGTTTTGTATGGTGAGTGTAAAGAACCAGAGACCCTTTTTACTGAAAGCGAGGCATTCCGTCACAGTCCTCAGGGGTGACAACGAACCTGCATTTTGATTCTTAATTGAGGAATTAAAAATGTAGATGTCTATGGGCCACAGCATCCGCTTACCATCTTATGGACAGAGCTCATTTGTCACCCTTATTCTATTAAAAAGACAGCTGGAAATAACACCACAATAAGGCCGTTTCTTATGGTAAGTGACGAGAAACGGATACCATTCTTACTGGTAAAAAGGCACAGGTACTATGTAATGGCTCGTAGCCAGGGGTGACAATGCATTATGTATTTTGATTCGTAATCAAGGTTAGATAGATGTGTGTCTATCGGATAAAGTATCCATTCTTGCAGTAGATTGTAGGTACAATCCTCATAAGATCATCCACTTATTATCAGGTGGACTGTGAGCTCATTTGTCACCCAAACGTCTATAAAAACATATCTTTTCATCGATTCGCTTGTAAATTACAACTTACCAGGATCTTGATAGTGACTTCCGATTTTAAACCGGAATTTTGGATTAAGAAGCCCTCTTATCGCTTTTAATAATTAAATAACTTTGTTCATTTAGTTTTATCTTTTCATGGATAGTGTGATTAAACACGAACACAGTGATTTAATAATTATTAGTCATCCGTAGTAGCGATCGAAAATTAAGATACCTACGCATTTTTATTGCTTGAATGATAATAAAATTTAAATAACTTTACGAGGGATCAACAGTCGAGTTTTCATATCAATCATTATCTTTAACGTCTCCTGTATTTGATCCGAAAATTGAAAGCTATTTTTGTAAATGCAAGGCATACCTATCGGGATTGTTAATAGCCAGAAGTACTATGATATGGATCATATAATAATTATATAATAAGCATACCGTATCACATAAACACTCTCATCGTAGGGAGGGTTCGCCGCATTAGCCATGCTTAACAAACGGATTGGATATCATAGGACCAGACGTCTGGCATTTTTAAACCATTTCCTGTACTATGACAACATAGTTATTTCCTTTGTATGAAATCTAACAGTCTAAGTATGCGATTTCAGTATTTCAATTGTAGTTAAATTATATCCGCCATGAAAACTTCGTGAAATTTCCCATAGCCGACTTTTCTAACACGCATAGGATCAGATAGAGTGAACGATTCTCTTATGAGGCTGCCTCACGGCAATTGGCAGTAAATGTAAGGTTTTTACAACTCATATTAATTTATTAATGACCTTATATAAAGCAAGTCCGGTCGTGCACAGTGGACGTTATATTTATACGTTTGTACGTGGTAGACCCACGTTGCAGCTATATCATTCACATCAGACCGGGGAATGAAATAGCAGCTTAACGCTGTTGTGCTTCGTATGATGAGTGTAGAGAACCAAATACCTTTTTATTGGAAACGAGGCATTCCATCTTAGTCCTCAGAGGTGACAACGTATTTGCATTTTGATTCTTAATCGAGGGTAGATGTAAATATCTATGGGTCATTGTACTCACTTAACATCTGGTGGTTTGTGCTCGTTGAATAGGTATCCTTGTTCTATAAAAAAAAACCTGCTGTAACACAGGGACTAGTGCTTCAAAATGCCACCAGCAGCGTTGGGTTCAGTGGAAGAGTGCTAAGAGGCTTTTGGGGATCTTGATTTGGTGGAAACTTATATCGTCAGCCTAGAGCACAGGCGCTGTAAAGCCACCCTTTCCGTATTCCATAGGATGTCTTTTGAAGCGTGCGCATGAATTGTATGCCTTAATTTCTCCTACCCCACCATCAGACAACCAGGCCGTCGGCAGGCCGTTACCACTTCGACTATATTCCACGCATTCGGACCAATTAGTTGGCTTCGTTTTTCGTAGTACATACAGAAAAGGAGTGTAATAATTTGCCGATGTCAGTCTTTTCTACCGATTTCATCTGAGGGTCTTCAAGGCAAGAGTAAATAGGCTTTTGTTATGCTAAGATACTGCCATTTACCATCTAGGGCGTCATCACCACTCCACCAGGTGGGCTGTATTCAAACACTAGCATATAAAATAAAATAATAATAAAAATACCAGAAAGATACGGAGTAAGGATTCAATCTGCCTTCTTGTTTATCCAGGTTCAAACATTGACCTTGAACAAAGTACTGGCGCACTTTCAAAAGGTCTCTTACTTTCTTTCAGCGCCTTAGACTAAATGAATCGTTTAAAGTAGATGTCCGTCGCAATCACGGCTCCTTGAATGTCGGCGGTATAAGCACCACGGCTGTCATGACATCAGGCCCAGTGGAGTCAAGACTATGCAAGGATTTAACACGTTAGCTGTCCACTGTGATTTTGTCAAGTGACAGTCTACGTCCACACTTTTTTTTAGATTAAATAGATAAAGATTATGCAAATAGCTACTCGTAATAACGTAACTACCTCCAGGGTTCTTGAAAATGTATTACAGGCTGAATTTCCGCATGCACTATATGTAGTGCACGGACTTCTCAGCTTAATTTTTATGCACTATATGTAGTGCACGGACTCTGCAGCTAAATTTTAGTGCACTATTTATATGGCACTTGTATTTATAGTATTTTCTATGCGTGGGGGTATAGACAAGGAAATGTCAAACTCAACCGACAGCTGTTAAAATGTTCTACTGTCAAAATATTATTGCATTGTCAAAATTTCATAACGGGTAACGGCTAATCAAACTGTTTTACGTGTAAAATAGTGTGTTTTATGTGGTTTTGGTACTTTTTTGGCTTTATATATAAAATGTCACGAAGTAAATGTCTGAGTGAGGAAGATATGCTCCGTATATTAGAAAACAGTGATGAAGAAGAAAATTTTATGCAAGGTATCGAACCTGCTGTAGAAGACGCAGATGAAGACGATTTATTGGACACTCCACTCCTGCCTTTCGAAGAAAATGTGTTTACCATCAGACAATTTATTGAGAACACCTATCCAGGTAACATTTCAATTGAGAATTCGACAGATTTTTCCGAAATTAATTCTTACTCTATCCAACCCCCTGAGATGTCGGTCCAGAGATCTGTTAGTCCTACTCCGGCTCAAATATTGCCTACGACTTGGCAAAATAATATACGACATTTGCCAAGAGAAGAATTTACGGGTTATGCTAATGGCAAACGTCATGTACGGCTATTTTCTGAAAATACAGACCTTTGGACTATTTTTTCTCATATTTACAATGAAGATGTCAATCAATTGATGGTCGAAGAAACAAATCGTTATGGATCTCAAATGAGGATGAATCGTAATAATAAGCCGTCTAGTCGTATAAATAGATGGAAACCTGTTACTTCGGAGGAAATAAGAAAGTTTGTGGGTATATATTTGCTTACAGGACTTCTGAACTTCCCTTCCATTGAATCTTATTGGAAAAACGATCCACTATACTATCATCCACTCCTCCATGACATGAAAATGTCTTACAATCGATTTACTCTAATATTGAGATGTTGGCACTTTTCTAACAATGAAGACCATAATTTGGATGACAGGCTGTACAAAATACAGCCGCTAATAAATAAGCTCATAAATAACTCGCGGAGCATATACACTCCTGGCGAAACAATCGCTGTGGATGAATCGATGGTCGGTTTCCGAGGAAGACTTTCGTTTCGCACTTATAATCCACAAAAAGCCCACAAATATGGCATAAAAATATACAAGTTGTGCTGTTCTAATGGATTTACATGGAGTTACTCTATATATGATGGACGGTCACACCAAATGCCTGGTTTAGACAAACCAGGTACAGTTGTGGTGTCTCTGGCTGAACTGTTACTGGATGAGGGCAGGATCCTTATTGCTGATAATTACTATACCAGTATACCTTTGGCGAGATATCTCAAGGAACGCAAAACTGATTTCTGCGGCACAGTCCGTAAAGCAAGGCGTGAACTTCCACCACAAGTAATTCAACAGAAACTTCAAAAAGGTCAAATAGCTGCGCAACAAAACGAATGTGTGATTGTCCTAAAATGGCATGACAAACGCGATGTTCTGACTTTGTCAACGTGTCATACCCACGAGATGCAAATGTCACAAGGGTTTCGCCCAGTTTTGAAGCCAAAAATGGTACTAACTTACAACGAAGGCAAGAAGGGAATTGATATTGCTGACCAGCTCGCAAGCTATAATTCGCCTGTTCGAAAATCATGTATATGGTACAAAAAAATAGCGGCGGATCTTTTGGCTACATGCGTGGTCAACGCCATTGTAATTTACAATCAATTGCATCTATCCAACGAAAAAATTACGCTGCTGCAGGGTAATGAATGTATGATAAAAAAACTAACTATTATTGAAAACGTCAGACCAAATGCAAGTTCTCTCATCGTTACGACGCGTCACAACATCACACGTATACCAAACAATTCCCGAGGTAAGCCACATCAAAAACGATGCGCTGGCTGCTATCAAAAACTGAAGGAAAGTGGAAACACGGTAAATGAAGCAAGGAGAAAGACGCCAAAGGTTGTTACCGAATGCATTGCTTGTAAAAGAGGCTTGTGCCTGCCGTGTTTCAACGAATGCCACTGAAAATATGTGATTTTTTTTTATTATAATTAATAAGTCATGTTTGTTTTAGTTACTGATTTTTCAATAAAGCATAAATATTTTTGATTAGTCCCACTTGTTTTCTTTAATATTTTATAAGCCACATTTACCTCAACCCCCGCATACATTATTAAGAAATTCCCATATGTCCTTTGCGTTTTTTTTTACACAGTTCCTAATCCACACGTCCATCTTAAATTCAGTAGTGTAGTTCAAACGTCCAGTTTAAAAAATCACATTAAGTTTGAACGGAGTGGTGCCCTACATATAGTGCACGGACGCCATGGCTAACTTCACAGTGCACTACATATAGTGCACGGACAGTTAACGTGTTAAAAACGTATTTATTGGTAATACCGACTTTTCTGGTATAATAATAATGTTGTATTTACGGACTTTTTATACGGGGGTACCATAGGAATTTAAGCGAGGTGGCGCTATATTGTCCCATCCAATGTGAATTGTGGATAAAGGAAAACAGTACATATCTGCGCGCATTGCGCTTAAGGCATGCAATAGGTGAGCCTTCTAACTTGCTACATGAGCTAATGTGTTCATCGGTTCCATCGGCTGACTAAAGTTTGTTTGCCCAAAAACTCAGTTACCAGATGGTAGAAGAGGTTTTCGCTAATCCGCCAAATAGGTCGAAAATGAACCTTCTGCAACATTTTATCTTAAAATTTGGCGACTTGTTAATATTTACTTCCGTGAGCTAAAATCCGCAGTTTTACGGTTTCGATAGTCGAGTCTAAGGCAAATTATTAAGTATAATGTGTATATGCAGAAAAGTACATATTACTTCAATGAGGCAAATTCGGTTTGAAAAAAATTGAATCGAACAAAATCATTTTTAATGAATATAGATGACAAGTAATACTTATTGACTCATTTATGTTTTTACCACTGGTTTGGAAAAATCATGTTAAAAAAAAACTACATCCATTTAAAAACCATGTTATTAAATGGATGTAGTTTTCTAAAGGTTAAAATAACTATACAACAAAATCACTTGTAAAATACTTTATTAAAATAATAAATAAATTGCAAATGAGTGATTACCATGCAAGTTTTGAGCAGATTGATCGGTTCGAGCCATCGGCTACTTGCTATCACCGTCTGCACCACCCGTAGTATCATATTGGACAACATTCAAAGCGTATATATATTATACGTGAAACAAAACAATTATAACAATATTTATATTTTCGGTGACTCATTTGCGAACACCGTGCACACCCAACACCAAATAGTTTCCATATGAATATTCGATAGTGCACTCATAAAAGGCTCGTATACAGCAAAAATGCATATTATATAATATTCGTTAACATAATACAAAACAAATACTCAATGGTATAATATGCACTGTTCATTTCTTAAAAACAAATTTGAAATAAATTAAATTATCGCACATAAAACCTAAATCACGCACGCCTATAATTTTATTTTATATTATATTTACTTATTTATTACTTGTGTTCGTAAAATAAAGAAATTAGTTGGAGAAAATTTATTATTATGTTTTATTGTTTGATTCTATCTGTGAACACTTTTAATTGGTCTTCTTCTTTCCCTTTTTATGTATTACTTCATAACCATAGCTTGCCAGTTGCCAGAAAATAAAGTAGCTTCCTCAGTTTATTTTTCAAAACAATTACCAAGCATGAATTGTGCTGAGCAAAAACGTGTTCTTCATTGTAAAATTTTCTGATGGTTCTTTTTGTTGCGTGTTTGCGTAATTTAGATTTTTGATATTCTTTTAGGACGTTTTATGTGATTTTCGAAGCACTATAGAGTATATCACTATAAATATGTAGCAAGTAATAAGCACAAATTATTTTTAGAATAATTACATCTACGCTTTTTGATAATTGTCGGTGCGTGAGTGGACACAGTTTTTATAAAGAGTCGATTTTAGTGTTTTGCAATAGACAAATAGAAATGACAATATCTATAGTTCGCTCCTGATAAATTGAAACAAATATAAACCAACGTTAAAAAAACTTCAGAGCCCTCAACTATTTGAGCATGGAACTAGAATAAAAAAAATAAACATATAATATGTAATTAAATGAAAACTACTTTAACAAGTATGTGGTAACATTCAAAGTTTAAAATTAATTTGATTCGAAAACATCATTAAATAATATTTACATAATATTGACTGCAAATCAACGTACTCACTAAAGTTTAAGAACTAAAAGCGTTATTATAATATATAAAAGTATATTTACATACGAAGAAAATTGTATCCCATTCTAAAACATCCCGAAACGTTTCAAATGCTTAAGGACTTATCATTTTGTAAATGACCACAAATAATTCCACCATAACCGATATATTACGAGTACAAGATATCCAACAATCCATAGTACTTTAAAAAACCTTAATACTTTGTACTTAAATAATATAAGGCATTCCATGATACAAGATTCATAGTGTGATGGTATTTTTGTGCATTGAATAGCGTCCAAATCGTTCACAGCAACGATTTAAATACTTGGACAATCTGACTTGTCTTATACGTGGGGGCGTTACGTGAATGAAATGCCGCCAACTATGTCGTAATAGTTTCAAATAAGACGCTCAATTCACTAGTCATTTCGCACTAAAAGCATTTTACACGTCGTAGAAACGTCAGTCTCGGTTGATGTGTGGAAGTTTCGAGACTGTTCCACATTAAAGCTACAATTTTATACACATTTCGCTAGCGACCACTATGACACTGGTCTTCGACGAACGAACGCGTCCGCAGCTGAGGAGGCGTACGAGTTGGGAACTTCTGATACCGCCTCTTGTTTGTACCCGTTTTTGCCGTTCAACGGACTTCCATTTTCGTTCATGACCACCTGCAACAATAAGCACGTCGATGAATTATAACATCCCTATTTAGACAACGATTAAATATATTATTATTTTTCCAATTATGCTCCAACTCAGCATTATGATAAGTATTTTAATTGTGATTTTTTTGTTTTTCTTTTTTTTGTGTTAATATTAATTAATGGTGTGCATGTAATGCATCTCAATTGTTAATGCGTAAGCAGTCTTAGATTAGTGCATGCATATTTTGCTCCTTGCTTATGTATATTTTTGAAATGAGTGAAGAATGCGTATATCAAATAAATAGTAATTTCTTTCGATTCGGTTAATAGCTCTAAAAGTTATTACGAAGTGATATATAAACTATAAAGTGTTTCATATAAAAAATATCGATTCGTCATTATAGTTTTTATTGTATTCTTAAGGTTAAATGTTTAATATTTATGATTAAGATAATAAGATATTGTAATTTCGAACATAAATTATAATAAAATGACAAATGAGAATAAAGTATTGAAATATGATTGTTATGGAAATTTGTATTTTTATTGCTAACAGATGTGAGGTATCTCAAAACTTGTAGTGGCCTTGTTTGACAAGTTATCAACATCATGAAGTAGTACTATCATCTTTTGCCAGTGTACTGCTAAAAATGGGGCATTGCAGTAGCAGACCAAGTCGTCATGAGTCGTCCTCCATGTACAGAAATGGAAGGGATGATAAACAGAAGTTCCCTTTGACAGTCTGGACGAGAGACCAGAATGCACGGGTTCACAAAGGAAGGCAAAGTAGTTTCTAGTCAATTTTGCCCATGTGCTTCGACTTTGCCAGGGCAATGACTCCTTTGAAAGACCTGCAGGCGGAATTATACTTCTTTTTAGTGTTTACATCCCGGGACGTTGATGCATCAGCCCAGGACCGGTAGCTCTCCTCCTTATGGCGTGACGTGATGCAATTTTACAGGAGCGACTAAACCCTGTCTGTGATCTGCCTCCGATGGGCACCACAAATGATGGAATAAAAAGTTCAATTCTATGAAGTATGACATCAGCGACAGAATCAGCACCAACGTTGGGATCATCCGGCGAGAAGAAAACCAGAAAACCCCAAAAGGTAGGATGGAAAAAAGACTGCATCCTGACTTTTTACGTGGTAGAGCCATGCTGCAGTTATATTAGTAGTATAGTTATAGCACGAATAGGTCGGGTCGACTGGGGTAGGACCAGGCTCTCACAGAATACCAGCGTAAAATAGCAGCTCAACGCTGCTGTGTTTCTTATGGTGAGTGTAGAGAACCGGAGACCCTTTTACTGGAAACGAGGCAATCACTCTTAATCCTCATGGGTGACAACGCATCTGCATTTTGATTCATAATCGCGGATAGATCTATCGAGTCTACGGGCCACAATAACCAGTTACCATCAGGTGGATTGTGCGCTCGTCTGTCACCCTTATTCTATAAAAAAGGTCAGAAGAGCCAAGAGGGGCGTAATGGCGAGAGGGGGTGATATCCGTCCGGATGTGTGGTCAGCAGAAGGTTCAACAGGGAAGATGGTCCTCTTCATCTAGAATCCGCGTAGGCGAAGTTACAAGGCAAAAGATATTGCAGAAATTCACGGATAGCGTGGCGGGGGTCGCCTTTGTGTTATTGCTCTGCTGCCCCGAGCAGTTTTAGTTTTATGCTGAATTTCGCCTCCAAAGAATACGCGGGGCAGCATGTTCCTACGCTCAGGAAGAGTAGGTCAGCTTAAGCGTGGATGCTCAGTGAGGGATTCCCCATTACCCCTCCTGGGGTACTCTGCTATTTTATTCCGCTACCATGTTAAGTTATGGCGGAGGGTGGGGGGGGGGGGGGGTCGATTGGGCCTTCAGCCCCCCGCAGTCACGAGGCGAAACTCGGAAGTAAAGCTTCTACTTCCCGCTGGTGTTCTGTAAGGTCGTGGTACTTAGGTTCGAGCTGGCCCAATCGTGCGACAACTAAAAATGCCGCATGGGTCTACCACTATTACTTATTAAATGCTTACCATGAATGCTCCGTACGACGGATGGCAACAATATATTTGAAACACAGGAAAGTAATGCTGCATAACTAGTTAATAATGAAGATTGAAAATAATCATAAAAGTTGTGTGATTAAGATTTTGACAGAGCCGCGTATAAATAAAATAAGTTGATCTTACCATACAAAGTCCATTCGTAAGCTTTGTTTTTCTTTCGGATTTGTTGTAGCGCGCCTTGTAGAAATCACTGAAGAGGAAAAGGAACAAGAAGCCGTGCATCGCAATCCAGTAGACGAAGGGGCGAGGATACTGGCACGATGGCCGGAACAGCACTTGAAGCTGGTGGCTGAAGATTAGCACGAACTGAACCTGAACAAAACAGCATCAAATTATTGTACAACGTGTAACAAAGCAAGCTATAATGCGTGCACTGCCGTGTTCCAGTACGGTACTAAAGGTATGGAGAGCCAGTGTAACAAAAAGCCGTCTTAGTCCTCATAGATGATCAAACGTCTGTAACTTTCTTTGTTTGAAGTTGGTTGCAGGTGTCCAGAAGCTACTTACTGATGGACTGTAAGTTCAAATGTCACTTCAATTTTATAAAAAAAAAAATAACCGCGAATTGCTCGGGAGCTAAATGCCCTATTAAATTTCATTAGAACATTTCGTTTTCTAGTTGCTTCTTTTGAATTTCATTTTTATTATCATCTTCCTCGTTGTCTGTTATATTAGGTTTAGGATAAACCAGATACGCTTTTCACTCTATCTCGAGAACAGTTAAATGACAAAATTCGTAGAGAATGTTATGCTCTACAACATTTATGATAACTTCACATGTCATTACACGAGCTATTTAAAAACCGCTTTTACGACATTTGACCTTGAATATCTTGACTCGTGTACAGTTTTGATGAGATTGTTGAGGTAACTTATAGAATGTCAAAATAAAGATTTATAGTTTGAAGTTTATTCACCTTATATGACTGTACTATAAATAAAAGTTGGGTGTGGTGAACAGCCGGAGAAACCATTACAAAAGGATTTTTTGCAGGAGGCACACGAACTAATGCCGTCAGGCCTTCATAAGTTTTGTTTTTTGTAAAAATCCCAGTGAATACAATGCAAAATTAAAACAGTCCTCTATTAGATATAGTCCTTTCCTATTGTATAACAGATTCGTTATACTGTTATAAATCGGTTAAAATATAATATCGGTAAAATCAAAGGATTCTAACGAAATCGTTAATGATTTATCATCGAAAAAGGTCGCAAATATTCAATATCCTTTACTTTAGAATATTATTCTATTAGTCGTCTTTTATGATATTTATAAAATGTATTCATCATGTATGATGAATACATTCTAACAAAACTTAATTGTACTTGTTAAATATTCGCGAGTGGCTGCGCAGAACAAGATTTTATATACACACAGGGGAGGTACGCGGGACAGCGGGGAAAGTTATCGACCGTAGCGTTCGCACTTATGCATTTATCTATTTCGCGTCTTGCTCCCACTACACGTGTCACAACATCGTGGTACAATTGCAAAAAAAAAAACGTTTAATATTAAAAACTATTCTGTGAATATTCATCTAAGATTTTTAACTGAGATAGACCCCTTGTGTGACTTAAATTTATTTTGGTGTCTGTAGGTATATATTTTGGGCTACAGGAAAAATCGAAAAGAAAAGGCAGTTAATCAGTTATTCCAATGCCACATATATGTCGGAATGACTAATCGAATTTTAAAATAAAGTAAAGACGAAACGAAACGGGAGATTAACATTTGACGACTTGTCAAGCAAGACAATTTGGTTTTTTCAATTAATGGATGTTATCCTCACTCACTCACTGGCTATGTTTAATTGATGAACGTCATTTGAATGTGAAATGAATGTTAATTGAATTCACATTTTTGATAAAGTAAATACACTTCCTTTTTTTAGGCATCGATATAGCAAAATACAAGGTTTAGAAATGAAAAATTTCGAAACGGTTTAAAAATAGCGCGGTTTATATTTTTCTTTACATACAGAAATGAAGTTGAGTTTCTTAAAACTCGTGGGGATATTCGGAATTTTAGGATAAAAAAACAACCGAGGCACCATTTTCATGATGTTTCCACTTAAAATTTAATACTTTTATTAGTTATTACGTAAAATAAAATTTAGGATTGAGGCAAATAATTAAATTAATAAACCGTTAGAACTTACCATTTGAAAAGCGGTGAGATACTTCTTCCACCAAATGTATTTCTGGTACTTAGGGCCCATGGCGGACACCATGTAGTAAAAGTACATCACTATGTGGACGAAAGTGTTCAGCAAGGCGAAGAATGTGCTATGGCCACCTGGATCAATAAAATTAACATTATTACACATTATTTTATCACAGTTCTTGGTAATGGCCGATACGATGTAAATTAATGGATTAATGTTTGACATCGTGGTGTAATTGAAAATAAAAATATTATGTTAAACAGTCAATATAGAATTTGTTTTGACAGTTTGTTATTTGTTTTAATTTTTGGTTCTCTCTCATACCTGTCGTAATGGTGTTCCAATTTTTGAATATATTTATTAATTACAGTCTATAACCGCCATAAATGTCCGCTGGTGAACATAGGCCTTGGCCAAAGGTTGCGTGATGAACCATAACTGCCACCCTTGGCAGTCGGGTTGGCCACCAATTATTTTGATTTATAATCAGCAAGACGCTGCAGCCCTTCTCCTACTTTAGTTTACCCCTGTCGCCTCTTACGATACCCACGGAATGATATGATTTTTCTTTTGCCTATACAAGGTATAAATGATGTATTGCAAAATATTTTTTCTTTATTTTAAAAACGATACCCCTCTTCTACGAGTCTCCACAATAAGAAGTTTTTCCTGTATCATGGAGGAGTTTTACATATATACATAGCACGTAGACAAACGCTTCCATACAAGGTTCGAACCCGAGGCACTACAGCGCCGCAGCGGAACACGAGCTACCGAGCCGTCATATATCACCGTGTCTTTGACACTGTATTTCGCTTTTCTTCAGCTACTTTTTGAAAAATATTTTTCTGTCAATGATATGTTAATATAATAACGCAATAAATTAAAATTTTGTACAACCGACTTAAATATAAATTATTAAGTATAACTCAAATACTATTGGTCAGACCTTGATCAAATTCATATGCCACATGAGAAGCACCAACTTTCAAATAAAAAAAGAATCATCAAAATTGGTTTACCCATTAAAAAGTTATGAGGTAACACACATTAAAAAGCATACAGTCGAATTGAGTACCTCCTCCTTTTTGAAGTCGGTAGAAAACTAACGTAAACAATTAGGATCTGCTTTTTGGCTGGATGTTATTTTTTGCTAAAAGGATTGTTATTGGCTGAATTTGAAAACGCTGACATACTATATCTATTATACCTAGTATGTTCACATTGTTTTTTATAATATATTCATGCGTCACATTGCGATGTTTCTCGAAGATATTGACGAAAGCCAAGGCTTATATAAGCCTTGGTATATGCTATACCAAGGCGTTACGTAAACAGACAAAATATCTTTCATTATCATCAGCGCAGTACTTACTTCTTTCATCGTTTCACACATTGGGCATGTAGTTTGGTGAGCGCAATACCGATACCCTTGACTTAAATTTGGATTCAGCGTTTTCGGATGGATTTTACGCCATCAGTCGACCGCCATTTGGTGTAAAAGTTAAATAGCATTTTAAAACTATTTCGAAATAAATATAACTCCTCAATGTTTGTATGATTTACTCAACGACTTCACTCATTTATTGTTTTCAAAATTTTCCATTTACGTAAATAGGTTACTTAAAAAGTTCGCGGAATTATCATAAAAAACTGATGGTTGTATAGATAAATTAGTTTTAAGTACAATTATTTAAATTAGTAATGTCTTAGCAGGCAAATGTGGAAAAAACTAAATTTATTATCACATTCATCAATCACGGAAGACATTACTGCTTTTGACCAAACGTAGAAGTTTATTTAACACGAAGGAAATTATCATATTATCGACAACTTTAAGAAGGAACGAAAGGTTATTATATATTAATTTAAATGTATGTAAAATAAGTTCCAAATCATTACGATACGTTTTTAATCTATTTAATATAATTCTTGGATGGAAAAAAAACAATGATGGATTCTCTAATGCTTGCTTGATAAAAATTCTAGTATGATTTATTTCATACTAGCTGATCCGGCAAACAATATTCTGCCCATTTTGGTTGGTGGCGCGCTGAGTTTATTTTCACACACGCACGCACGCACGCACGCACGCACGCACGCACGCACGCACGCACATTTCTATAGATTTATTATATGTATAGCTAAATCCTCTTTAGGACTAATAGAACCATCAGCAGCCACAATGACAATAAACTAAGAAAAAAGGAAAACATAACCCTTTATTTTACTCTTTCCTAAGCGGATAAAATGTTGCCTATACGTTATATACGATCATTTATTGTTTATGTACAAAATTTCATGTAAAGTTGTCCAGTAGTTTTTGCGTGAATCGTGAACACACAATATTTCTACAGATTTATTTTATGTATAGAAGATAGAAGATGAGCGATTCTCCCCGGGCCACTGCTCCCTCCGCACGGTTGATTTCGACAACAGCGCCACCTACCGGGTCCAATTGTCCACCCAGGGACCCACTCAAACACACACAAAAATAATCAAAATCGGTCGCGCCACTTTCGAGTTTTAGGGAGACAAACGTACAGCAATTGATTTTTATATATAAAGATTATGTACGCCTATCAAATTATAGTAAAAAACTGTTTTTTTTTCTTTGTATTCTACGTGGTAGAGCCACGCTCTAGCTATTTTATGTCTGTAGCACGAATGGGTTGGCTCGAACGAAGAATGACCCGCTCTCACAGAATACCACCGTAAGATAGCAGCTTAATGCTGCTGTGTTTTGTATGGTGAGTGTAGAGAATCGGAGACCCTTTTACTGGTAACGAGATATTCCATCTTAATCCTCAGGGGTGACAACGCAATGCATTTTGATTCTTGATCGAAAACAGATGTAGATGTCTATGTGCCACAGCATTCACTTATACCATCGGGTGGACTGTGCTCGCTTGTCATCCTTATTCTATATAAAAAAATTCTTTAGCAGGCCATAACAGAAAACTTTTAGTGCTCTAAAACTAGTGCTCTAAAAGCTAGTAAACTAGTGCTCTAAAGTGACCTCTCGCATCTTTGACGGTGCCCCACGTCGCCACCCCATATCGCCCCGTGGTAGTCGAAAGAGGCTGCAAAAGATAACAAACTAAGAGATGGGCAGGTGCGTCCAAAATACCGAGTGTGACAACGCATTTGCTTTTGATTCTTAAGAGAGGGTAGAGAGGTAGCCTATGGAAACAGCATTTACTTACAATCAGGTTGAGTTTTGCTAATCGAGGGTGGATATATGTGTTCATGGGAACAACGTTTACTTACAGTCAGGTGAACTATGTGCTCGTTTGTCACCATTACTTCATGACTGATACAACACTACATATATGGATACCTACAGTCAACTCTTAACAAGAAAGCTGCGATTAAGTATTGAGTCGAAGGAAGATGAGACTAGCGTGTTATTACTGAATGTCTCATCCATCCATCCAGTCAATGAGTAGCAAGATAGCTTGAATTGATAACAATCTTGTCGCTATAAATGACTGATATGGACTATCCAGTTTAATACGAATTTGATGGTTCATTATTCATATCAAATGTTTTTATACGCACACTGATTACACTGATTGCTTATCGATTTAGCGCGAATTACCTGTATATACAGGTAATGTATCTGATGATATCATAGCTCTATGTCAATGTCGTGCTACTATATTTTAGTTTAACAATTTCCTTAAATTTTTATTTTGATCATAGGGTGTCAATTCTAGCGACTTATTAGACCCGCGTCATTAACGTATAAGCTACCAATTTAGATGCCGTTAAACGAAAATTACCCTATAGTTTTGTCTTTGATTTACAAAACTGATTCTGAGACTTCTGTACCATATGAATTATTGTCAACTAGCAATGAAAACATAGCGTATACGCATGACTTTTGATGTTTACTTGGTTTGTTATAGCGTTCGCGGAAGGAGTTATGCAATAACAATATTTCGTACACGATATGTAAAAGCTTTTCATGAATATCTGGTTTCTTGAGGTTTGCATATAAGAATCATAATGCCTATGACAATGGGATTCCCTCGACTACACAGAGTCTGTAATTCATTCATGGGGCAATGCATACTTTATCACAACATAGTACCAGAAAATATACTAGGTATCTCTATTACCAAGTTTAAATATTTTATTAAACAAAACTGTATAAAAAAGGATTATTTTCAAAATCATTATCAACCACGTTATCATAAATGAATACATGGTTGATAATAGCCCCTGGGAATGAGGTCTTCCCACAGATTACCCCCTAATTTAATAAGATTAGGAGGTAATCTGTGGGTCTTTTAAGCTGTTTCTAAAAGAATTTTTGTAAATAGTTTGTACAACATTTCTTATTTTTATTTTGAAATTAATTTACTTTGAAAAAGCAAAACATTCTCGCTAGGTTTCTTGCTGGTTATTCCCAAAACAGAGGTGTTTTCCGAATCAGTGATAAAAGTAAAAAATGTCTTTCAATAAGAATTACATATAATCTATATTCAATAAAAATTATTCTATTCTATTATCTTTATTCTAAATACGACTAATAATAAATTTTATTGCAAATGGGGTAGATTTCAAATTAATTTGGTTTTTTTTTTCAGTAGTAAGTTGAAAGCATGTGTAGAGAACGGAACGTTTACCGGCAGATGAAATTCGAGTTGTATTGGTTAAATAATTTAAATATACCCGACAGTTATAAACTTACATCTTAGTTATTTTCTTGTTACCGTAATTTTCGTTCTTTTATATTTTTTTAGGTGTCAAAGATATTAATAAACTTTTTATTATTCGTTCGCTCTCTTTATTATCCTAAATCTTAAAGGGTGCCTGTAGGGTACTTACATAAAGGAAAAAATATAAAGAAAAGATCTCCTAACTATACTCTGGAGGAGAAACAAAACCTTTAACTTGTTGCAAAGTAAGTACTACTTCAATTTTTGCAGAGTGTATCATTTACGTTTTTATAGGTATTTACGTATATATTTGCTGCAGATACAAAGGCGTGATTGAATATAAAAGTACAGGAGAATTCTACATAGAAAAAAAAAGAAAGGCCTGGGTGGCTATTACAAAACAGTTTAATAGCATCTGCACTACAGGGCCGCGAGATGAAGCTATGGTCAATCATTTTTATAATAATACTAGCTGTTCCCCGCGACTTCAGTTGCCTGTATGCTGTCAAATCTACTGAAGACTTTTATACGTGGTAGAGCAATGCATATTAGTAGTACAGTTGTAGCACGAATGGGTCGGCTCAACCGGGGAAGGATCACGCTCTCACAGAAAGCCAGCGTAAAATAGCAGCTTAACGCTGCTGTGTTTCGTATGGTGAGTGTAGAGAACCGGAGACCCTTTTTAGTGGCAAAGAGGCATTCCATCTTAGTCCTCACGGGTGACAACGCATCTGCATCTTGAGTCTTTATTGAGGATAAGATGTAGATGTCTATGGGTTGCAGTGGCCACTTACCATCAGGTGAATTGTGTGCTCGTTTGTCACCCTATTCTATAAAAAAAATAAACTTCGCCCAAGTTACTCCTTATAACATCAGCTATCTGCCAGTGTGTATAAATATTGACATTAATATTTATACGATACTAACGTATGGTATGGTATTAAAGTTTAAATTGACTTTTAAGTATTATTACGAATCTTTTGTATGGGAACATAGAAAAGTGTAGTTTTTAAGACTTTTTCAGGCAATTTTTTAAATTTTTCTCTCCGTAAGAACCATCTTCGTACTTCAAGGAATATTATAAAAAAAGAATTAGCGAAATCGGTTCAGCTGCTCACGAGGTTTGCGCTTAGCAACACATTCAGCGATTCATTTTTATATTATAAGAAAATATACATCGTGCACGAAAGTATCGGCCTGTGAAAATGTGAGTTAATGTCAACAATTGCTTATGTAACAATGCAATATTAGACATTCAGCATGCGTCTTACATTATTTAAAAAAAATGTTTACATAAGCAAATATATCTTACTGGCCCCACAATAGAATCGAACAAATTAGAATCAGGCCCCACAGTTCATAAAGTTTTCTTTATATTTACTTAACGAAAATTTTGTTATTAAACATGTATTTCCTTTATAAGTACATTCCTATTATATAATTTTTCATCATTGTGGAAAATATTTATTGTACGTAATGCTTTCAAGAACAAGAGTGTCCCACTGAGCTGTCTTCAGAATCACTACCTTACAAAAAATACTTTTCAATTTATATAGCTGTATATAAAAGTTTTTGTAGATCTATTTTATGATTATAGTATATGTAAAAGTAATTTTTGCCTTTTTTATTTATTTAATTTTGATTGTGTTTATGCATAAAAAATTTTGAGTAGAAAGACTAGCATCCTTATTTGTGGTCTTTTTAATCCCTTAATACATCTTTAAATAAAATTGTTTTTTGTTTTACAGGTAACAATTAGAGACGAAAATGTAATTAAATATTTGAAAAAGAAGTGGACAGATGAAAAGGTGAAGTGATGAATATTTATTCTGTTGATACTTGATTGATCACTGTGTAATTTTAGATTGTTATTTATCTTTTCTAGAAAAATATAAAGAAAACTGAAGATGGGTCTTTTAATACGATATTAAACGATGCTGACCACCAAATTTTGGCTATTTCGGATGATCAAATACGTCCAGATGTGAACACATGTGATTATGTTGGTGAATATTTTGGTAAGTATAATGTTTGTATCATACATTCAGCCGGCCTGTAATCTATAAAAAAATAAATATGTGATCCTCTACTACTTTTTTTTTATAAGAGAGGGGGCAAATGAGCATGCGGCTCACAGGATGGTAAGTGACTACCGCCGCCCATGAACAACTGCAACACCATTTAAAACAAAAATAACTCAAGATTAATGTTTTGTGGTCTACAAATTTATTTTTTAAGAGAAACAGTTAATTCAGTAGAAATCGAAGAGTCTAATCCTAATCCCACCATAATGGAAGAACCTAATCGCATCATTATAGAAGAGCCTCAAAAACAAATTTAAAAAAATGTATTTCGAAAAAAAATAAACCTCAAAACAAATCCAAAATGTCAAAAAAATTTGCAGAACTTTTAAAGAAAATTTACTTTAAGAAAAAATGAAATTCTTAATTATAGAAATGACCAAAATAAGCAAGAACTGGAGCAAGGTTAGCAACTACATACGTTTATGTTAAAAATTATACTGTTCAACAAAGACAGCCTTTATAAGCCCACAGATGATGATAGGCCGGTCCAAGAAAATGCATGCTAGTTATATGATTTTACTACACTAGGCTCAGCAGTGCAAGTCAAAATCTTTGCACTGGTAACGTTGTTTCCCATGGTTAGTTTATGAAATTTGGTTTTAGATATTTTCGATAGATTTTCTACCAGTGGTTAGTTGCCAAATTATCAGTTAGACAGGAAGGGCTGGTAACAGTTAAACTATTATTAATACTGTAGTTTCTATATAACGTAATTATCTATTACTATGAATAAAACAAACATTTTCTTAACTGTTTGATGGTATTCAGTTACAAGTTACGTATTCGCAGTGCGGACAAGGCAAATTATCAAATTTGAGAATTCTCAGACTCAAATATTTATTCAGAAACGATAATTCGTATAATTCATTTCTTAAATAGCATTTAAAAAGACCTCAAGTTTTAATTCTCAATTCAGAAACCGGGTATTACGTAAGTTGGTTCTTGGAATAGTTTTTAAATCTAACCTCGAACTTTGTGTTCGGGAGACACGTGACAATATAATACGCAACGTTAGAAAAATTCTTGACTGCGTGTCAAAGTGAATTTTACAATGTGATAAAGGAAATGATTTGTGTATTTGATTGATAAAGAATGCAACATACGTATACACCAAGCAACACATTGCGAAAAAGTGTGCCTACGTTTGTAGTCTGGCCAAGCACTATTAGCTAGGAGTAAGGGGGGATATGCCAACTTTTTCTCCACATGGATTGTTACATGCTGTTGATTACATTCATATAATATACGTCTTGTTAACCCTAAGGACTAAGCTGAATTACAGGAGTGTTAGGTTGTCGTTTTGTTAGTAGTTTTACTAGTAGTATAAAGCTATCTGTCGTCGTTCCTTTAAAATTAAACTAAAGTAAAAGATTTTTGTATTTAAGAACTCATCAACGGATATCTATTATCGATATTTAACGTCTTGTATGACATCTATTATTGATATCAGAATCGATCATGACGAGTCATTATTATCATGAAAAATGATCATAAGCAGGTTTATGTACACATATTAAAATATTTTTAATATTTATGAGTTTGTGACTGTGGCAATTTACGTCTCTAATAGGTATATAATACTTTTAGTTATTTAATGTATTGCTAATACAGTTTAAAAAATAAAGTTAATAAAATGAGTCATCCTTATCCTAGACGATTAAAACTATTAAAGTGCCAGTACTATTTAGCTATATAGTGGTTAGTGGCGTAATAGTAAAATATTAAAGTATAAAAAAATTGAACTTACCGGGAGCGAACTTAAGCCCGAACCAAACTGACATTGGCATGATCCCGTGGTGTATGACATGCAGAGTGGACACGTGCTCGTTCTTCTTTCTGAGCACAAAGAACAGCGTGTCGAAGAACTCCGTGAACTTGCTGAAGTAGTACCACCAGCATGTATTCGCCATCTATACGAATGCATTAATAGGAAATCTGTTAATAAATTCCGATACTATGATCTTCTTCATAAGATTTTTAGTTTCCGTAATCAAATATGTTGTCACGCGAAAATTATATTTTGAAAATGGAATATTACAAAAATGTTGTTTTTTTTTCTTTTCTTTATCAGCCTGGAGGTAGGGCTTAGAACTTATAATAGGCAATTATGGTTTGGCTTGGCGCTACTATAAGAATATGAAGATTGTTGTGTAAAATTTTCAAATAATATAGATAGCTATTAAGGTTGACTTTAATATTTTTGTTGTTGAATCTATTTTTAAAATAATTTTAACCAATACCTCAAAATGTTAACATCAATGATTCAATATTTTTTTAATGATAAGTTAAAATAATTTAAGATCGGCTAAAGATTTTGTAACAAATAACTTTTTAAGTTATAACAGTGCAGTGAAAGCAAACCCTCGGAAACTCAATATTATTTACAAAAATTATTTAAAACTAAGTATAAAGAAATCGCTTAAATATAAGCCCATTCCTGTATAAGCTTAAGTATAAGCCCTTTCCGTGCTATTGACCACTTAAATTATTAAAACATTTATATTAATAACAAACTTTTCTAAACAATATTATTAATACTAAGGATTTTAGGTCTTTTCTTTCTTTCTTGTCAAACAATAATTAGGAACTTATTAAATTCGTTCTTCATTAAGTACTATTACTATTTTTTTGCTTATTAGAAGTGCTTGACAACAAAGTCTCCTAAGTCGTAATTTATCCTTTACATTTTTTTTTATTTAGTTTTTAAAAAATGTTACCCCCACACTAGGATTTTCTCCTGTATCGTGGAGGCAGTTTACAAACATAAATTACACGAGGACAAACATCCAGACCCGGAACAATTATTTGTTGGCCATACAAATACTTGTTACGTGCGGGATTCGAACCCGCGGCCCCCAGCTCAACAACTCATTGCTAAGCCACTGCGCCACGGAGCCGTCTATTATTACATTGACACTTGCTACCCAGCGCCTGTGCTCGATGTTGACAAGATTTTATGCATCCATCCATTATAACCTATGAAAGTCCACTGCTAAACATAGGCAGGCCCCATACTTTGCCTCATAGGGAGATTTTCCGATAGTTGCCATGCTTAAGCGATCCGGCCCGCACGGGTGATTTCTAGATCTCGACATCAGTGCCACCTACCAGGTCTAATTGTGAATCTAAACCATCCACGGAACCACTCAATCGCACACAAAAAAATCTTTCGAGCCGTTTTCGAGTTTAGCGCGGAACAGCGCAACAGCTATATATATCCATATATTATAATATTTAACTATACTTTGTGTTCTATATTAATTTTGAATGCTAAAAATAAACTCTTAATTTTATTTCACAAATACCCCTGAGAAACGTCGAAATAATTAAAAACGAGGAAGTGAGTAAAATGCTAAACTTCATATTTGAAACAACGACCTTTGGAAACTACAAATTTATTTATTTTTATATTGGACCGGTCTAGAAGTTAAAACTAGCACTATTTCTTAACGAGTACAGGTTTTTTTATTAAAAAAAATTATATTTAACGTGAAAACTAAAACACAAAATATAAGCGATTATTGATGCAGACATATTACACGTTATTAAAATTTATAATCTTGACATATTATATAAATAATTAAGATAATATATAGCAAATGTTGTCAAAAATGTTCATAGTCACACACAAGTACTTATAGATTAGTACAAATGTGCACCTGTGAGTGACTGACATAAAAACTTCATAGTGCTTACTTATCTAATTGGATAACCAGTATCAACTACGGAAATGTGACGAGTGACTATCTATGTGACTCATTTATATTTGCGTAATAAAAGGAAGCCACCAGGGTAAAAATAGACCAGGAGAAGAATGCTATGATCATAGATAATATCGATACTGCAAAGACCTAACACAAATATGCTCGTTGGGGTCACAATTGAAATGAAAGAAACAAAAAAATTGTCCGAAACATATATTTTTTGCCAATACAAGAATGTAATATATGTTACGGCTAAAAGCCGAAGTGCGGTTACACTACGCTGGAAGTAGGTGTAACCGCACTTCCAGACCTATGTGTGGCCAGCAGTAGTTGGTTAAATTTAGGTATATGTAAATTTGTAAAAAAACGGATAATACGTATCAAGTAATATCAGCGACAGTAGTTAAGTTACAATAGGTGGCAAAATAGCAGACATTTATATAATGTATAAATTATATATGATACACCTAAATTTAACCAACCGCAATAGGCTGCACCTAGTAGTAGCCGGCTAAACTTAGGTGTATCCGCACTTCGGCTTTTAGCCGTAACATATGTAAGAATACAAGTCTTTTTACGTACCCTCATTGCCCGTGGGCTCCGCGAGTAGTCGACAAGTTGACACCTGAAATCGTAGTGTCCCAACCATCCGCTCATCAGATACTGCGGACATAAATAGTTTTCAATTTTAAACGTTTCACATTTAACATTTCACTATACGCGATAGCGCCATGCTGCAACTTATTATAACTGTAACACTTATTCGGGAAGGACCAAGCTCGTATATAATACCAGGGTAAAATGGCAACACAATATTGTGTGGTGAGTGACGAAAACCGAAGACCTTTTTTAATGATAACGAGGAATTCTATATTAGCCCACAGAGGTAACAACGCATTTTGATTTTTAATAGAGATGAGGTAACTTCGGGCCACAGCATACACTTACAATGAGGTGGATCATGTGTCCGTGTGACGTCCTTTCTATATAAAAAAAATCTTACAAATGTGAACTAATTTTATGGTTCGCCAGCTTTAGTCCTTAAAAGTCCACTGCTGGACAATGGGTCGCTACTGCTGGGGAGAGTATTAGCCTTAATCGTCACTCTTGGCAGGTGGATTGACGATAGAATAGCCAGCTGACTCGCACCTTTGACGCTGCATCCAGTCGCCAGTGATATTTAATGGCTGGTGTAAGCGAGATGGTTATACTGCCATTTATCGGAAGCCATAAGATATTTCGGGCATATTTCATAGTTGCCTCTTACGGCACCTACGGGACGAAATCGGGTGAATACCACGCGCCAGATGTCAAATTTCCTGACCAATATCGGTTAAGAAAGCGCATATCGTATCATACTGATAGGCATCCGTCCATATTTGCCATCCATATCATATCTGCCTATCAAACGTAGCGATAAAAACCTTCCCATATAAAAAACAGTTATGGGTTAAAATTAATGGTATGGATTGATACTTAAATTACGAGATATGTTACATGTATGACGTACGAACAAATTTCATAAATAATTAATTCAAGTCAAATAAACTTTTGATAAAGTTCAATAAAAACGAATAACGTATATATGTATAAATATAAAAGAAAAACTAAAACATAATAATAAAAAGGAGAAGTAAAAATAGTTTTCCTCGCAATGGCATAATATAATTAATAATGTTGCAAACAATATGTAACATATTTTAATAAAGCCCAGTTGGGTAATAATTAATTAAAATTCATACGTATACGAGTACAAAGTAGGTCAGAAGCGGCTCTTCATTAATATGTGTGCCCAGCGAACTATATCAGAAAGACTAGGGCATATAAAAGGACGTAGATTTTTGTTTCACAAATTTTAAAAAGCGATATTCCCATTATACTCAGCTTTCATTACACGTTGTGCACTTTACTACCTAAGAACAATATTGCTGAATGTTGACGTCGCATGTGAGTTTATGAATATGTCGCAGCAAACTAGCTTAATTAGCCTTTCAGTTAACAACCTAGCCTTAGTACTAAATACTAGCGGCCTGAATGATATTCAGCCCATGCGTTTCAGCCGATGCGATATAAATATACGTGGCTTAAGGTTGGCCCAAAATCCACCCCAGTCGCACCTTAATCTCTGTCGCTGACTGAATATCATTCAGGCCGCTAGTTGAACGGCGTTCTTTAGTAAAAAGGCTAGGCTGTTAACTGAAAGGCTAATTAAACTAGGTGGCTGCGATACACATCAAAATTTATGAGTTAATTGGTTTACAAAAAATTGTTAATAAATGAATTATTAAAATTAAATAACAATATTATCTGTCAAACAAAATTATTGTAGTTATAAATTAATGAATAATTAAAGGTATAATAATTGAAAGATAAATATTACCTAAATATATATACATATAATGTGATAATAATGATTTACCATTTTCCTAGGAGTGATTTATTGGAAATATTTCATCATTATGCCAAACATCGATTCTTGATGACACCGTGTTAAACATTTGATTGATCGATTTGTGTCAATAAATCTTACAAAAATTAGACGTAATATTCGAGTCTTATAGTTCTAACATTGTAATAAATCTTGGCATATTTTGCGTACATAATCAACATATAATCAATAATAATTTGACGTACCTCGTAGAAGATCCATGCGCTGAATACGGTCTGGGCCAAATTGTAAACTATGAGCACACCTCTGAGTTCGAAGGGTTTGCGGTTAGCCATTAGTGCTGGTCCCAATTTCTTCGCACAAAACGCATAAAGCAAGCAAGCCGCCAAAGTTGGCCAAGGAGAAGACACCATAGGCCAATCCTTCACTCGGGGGTCTGTGAAAAACGGAATTATTTAGTAAAAATACTATAGGAGAAACATATTAGTTTTTTGGTATAAACTAAATATTTTTTATGACTCATCATCGGATCATCATTGACGTGTGATTAAAAGTTTTCGCAAGGTAAAACAAGGCAAAATAATGTCGAAATTACCGTAAAAGGACAAGGACGTTTAAAGGTTGACATTTATTTCGTATATAAATAAAGATAACCAACAAGTACGTTTCTGTCTTTCCACCCGATTGCCATGTGGGTGACTTCAAGGCAAGAGTGGATAGGCTTTACCAACAGGTGTAATAGTAGTCAAGCACTGCCTTATGAGATGACAGTTAAAAAACGTATGTGATTAATAGCTCTTAAAGTTGGTTCAAGTTTAAGTCTTTCTGAAAAATTGTTTCAAGTCGAAAAAAGTCAATGAACGTCCAGATTTTGTTTTATATTTTTCTTAACGCGCATTTTGATGTAATACAGATCGCTTGTCGGAAAAAAAATGCAGACTTAACAAGCCTTCTCTTGTTAGAAGCTTGCTCTTGATGCATGCATACGACGTGCTCTTGATGCCCCTTGAAGTTCTACCTTTTCAAGTTTTTCTTTTCTTGCAAAAAAGTTTGCTCTAAAAGTTCAAAAGAAACTAACAAGTCGCTGTATTAGGTAATTGTGACAAACATAATACGAGGCACGTTAAAGAAATATTACGAGAAAAACTGACAAACACTGACAAAAACTGGTGATTATAAAGCAGTCCCGCAATAGCTGAACATTAAAAATTTTAACAAGCTCTACGGGCTAATTTAGTCCATATTAGTTTCAGAAAAGTCACAAACAGCGTTGACGTATTCTTTATAACTACAGTCACTAATTAACTAAGTAACTTTTTGCAATTAAAAGTGAATAATCAATGCGGTTGGTTATCTATTGCATATTCAATGTTAAAATTCACATACTTTTAAAGTACAAAAGCGAAGTTTACTTAATATATATGTAAAGCAAATTGTATGTATTGATAGTTAAGTTAAAAACTTAACTGTAGGTCTTGGATAGATAATGTTCTGTGCAGAATGACAATAGAAAATAGGAGAAATTTGGATGTCGACCCGAATATATAACATATACAAAACTGTTCCTTTGCTCCCGGCATTTAAAATATTGATGACGGCGATAATGACGATAAAGTCACTATGGCAAAATCGCTGGAGGACTTTAGCACTTTGCTCAAAAACCTTAATAGTGTCTGCCACTACCAACTTCGACCAAGAGGTCAATTGACGGATCCAACTCAGCGGGGCAATGTACGGAAGATTACGACACAACATGTTTTCGTCATTCATCAAAACTTAAAAACAAGAGTGTACAACGTGCGTGTTGCCAATGATGATTGAGCCATGGCGCTTCACTGCTGACCGTTTGTGGAAACTCAAGGTAGCTCAAAGAGCTATGGAGGGCTATGCTCGGAGTTTCTCTGCATTATAGAAATCGCAATGAAGAAATCGGCAATAGAAACAAAATAAACGACAGATCCCAACAGTAAGGTTAAGTACAGTACCCCAGTGGATGTAGTGACAACATGGTAAGATGTGCAGGAAGTCAATAAATGCAGGTGGCTCCGTATTATGTGGCATTCTTCGGAGTAGGCTATAATGATGATCGTAACTTTTTTTTATGAAAAGCTTATGAAAAACAGTCGAATTTATGGTATGGTGGTAGTTCTAAGACCTTTCTTCTGGGACTTTTCAAATTAGTACGCTACGAACTTCACTTCGATCCTGCCCTCCTACTTAAAATTTATGTACTGGTTTATTACGTTCTTAACGACAAAGGAACACAACGTCAGGTGAAATGTATTCTGAGAAGTTAATGAAAATCTTGGATAGCTGAATTCCGCCAATCTACACTGGACTAGTGTTTTAAATTGAGTGTAGGGAATGAGGGTAAAAAAAAATAAAAGGAAATACGAACAAATGAAGGTAGAATTGGTTGTCTCCCACCAGTTCTAGCAGTATAAAGTATCGCGTAGGCGACTAAGAGATATCAGTCGGTAATTCTACGAGTCTAGCTGTCATTACTATGCCCGTTGGGGTATTTTACTAGTGTAGGTAAGGAAGATATTGTTGCTGAGAGGCTGCCCTGTTACACTGAGATGGGTAGTGATGCTGTTGGTTTGCATACTTTGGTGTTATCATGTAATTGGGACCTGATAGTAAGCATGGTCTGTTACCGAGTAGTGTACGTTTATTTAAACAATTTTGAGAATAATTTCTAACATCAGAAGTGGAATAGTTTCTTACAAGAGTAATATTAGAAAAGGGTCCTGTAATGGAACTTTGCTTCTTTTTCGTGTGTTGTGAAGCGAAGAAGACGCGGACGGTTGCATGATCGTTTCAATATATTCATCTTTATAATTACTTAGCTTTAACTACGGCGACGAGAAAGCTACGAGTAAATAAATGTCAGTACTTGGTAGATTTCAATTCGAAAGATTGTGCCAGTGCAGAATTAATGGTATTCAACACAAGTGGCTGTACATTAGGTGGATTGAAAAATTCGAGACGGCATATAGACATGATTAATTTTTGTTATTTTAAATTTGATTATATTAATTAGTTCTTTATTACCATTGTGTGGTAACTTTGGGTAATGCTGGCTTCTCACGGCGCGTGATATCACAAGTGGTGACAAATGTGCGTTCACCTTAGGTGAAGGGATTTTTAAAAATTAAAATATTCCAACATCGCGCTGTTATCAAGGATTTGTTCGTGAAAGGGTTAAGGCCGAATAAGATTCACGAAGATATGGTGACAACTTAAGAAGAATCTACTTGGTAGAAACTTGAAAGAAAACGTCAAAAAAACATTTTTTTTTATTTGATATTTGATATTGGGGGAACTTTGAACTTTTTGAAAATCAGAGAGATAGCTGAGAAGTATAGGCATATCTTATGAACGAGTTGATAATATAATACATAATAAATTGTGTTTTTCTAAGGTTTCTGCGGGGTAGGGATTGCGATTACTTTCAGTCGAACATAAACCTAATCGATTTACGATTTCGCGAGATTGTTTGGAGTTGTTTGGTGCCGATTCACAACACTTCTTTGGGATATTAGTTACTTTTGATGCAACTTATTTCATTACAATACTCCTGATTCAAAACAATTATCAAAGATTGGAAGAGACCGGGCTCACCGCCTTTAAAATAAGGCTTAAGTGAATTTGGCCGTAAAAAGATGGCTTCTGTATTCCGAAATTCAAAGGATGTAATTTACTTCTGGAAAAAAGCATCATAAGCTCTACTTATTAATGCAAGCTTTTACGTCGGTTATGAGATAAAATTCAGAAAAAACGCCAAGCAATGTTAACCAAAATAGGTTTTTTTATATATATTGAGGGTCAAGATGAAGCATTTTTTTAAAATGATATTATGGCTTTAGAAATCAGATAGAGAAATCATTGATAAGTACATTGATAAAATAAAAGTAGTGATTATGTCGAAATATAAAAATTATTTTAAAATCTTCTGATTTCGTTTAAATACTCAGGTCGCGAATATTTTAATCCACCCTCGTAGTTTATAACAAACGATGAGTCGTCATTTAAGACAAAACATAAAATCATTGCCTCATGGAGGTGACAAGAGAATCATAAAACACTGAAAGTAGACATTTGCACGTTTTCCGCAAATAGCAAATACAACATAATTATTTTTCCTTATACATTAAAGTCACTGATGTTTAACTTAACGAATAAACTATGCATATTTATTTAAATATCTTATTATAATTGTCATAAACAGGATGATGAATTGTCATTCATTGAATGGAAAATGTTTTTGTACCAGATGGCAGGGGTCGTGGTCTGCGTAGAGTCCTTCTAGGTTGGTAATACCCTCGTATCTATTAGCCGTGCACCCATGTGTTCTGGTTTGGAGAGTAAGAGCGCCAACATAACTACAGGCTGTGAGGCAATCTAAGACTTTTGGGGTGTCAAAGCAATTGTGGTCTTCTCCAGACCTTGGTAGCCTAAAACTCTTCACCACTGCATTCTAATTTTCGAACTACTGTAGTGAAAAGAATGCACATCAAAGGCGAATACATAACTAACCTAATGTTCAATGACCTCAATAGTGTCTGCATTTAATAGGTTTTATAGAACAAGGGTGACAAGCGAACACACGACCTACCTAATGGTAAGTGAATGCTGTGGCACATAGACAGGTTTTAAGAATGGACAAGGCAAAAATCACTAGTAACATCGATGTCACACATATTATTTCGAGTCGTTAGAAACACTATGCTCGAAAATATGGACGAGTTTGTACAGCTAAGACAAATTACTGTCAGACTCCGTGAAGTCCAGCCTAGAATGCCACAATATCCATCGACGAATTCGACTCGGCTAAGTCGGGAATTAACATCATATCTTCTCGTAGCATATTTTCTCAATATTTTAAACTGAAAGTGTAAAACAAATAGGTATTGACCACGTCTCAGTTCCATACATGGCTGGTACTGTTAGCCGTATGGGGATACTAAGTCACTCAACAAGCTATTGAAATGGCTACTCTATGTAACTCTGCGTGATAGAATTCGTAACTAAGATATACGAAGCCTAACCAGGATAACCGAAATATAACCGCTAGACCCATCAGTAAGCTGAAGTAGCTGCCAATGGGTCAGCCATATAGCTCGAAGAACAGGCTACTGACGGGGAGTGGATGCCTTATACCGGTGAGCGGTGTCGGAGGCCCTCCACATCTAGTGGAGGTCTTCTGTATAATATGTTACTATGTCGTTACTCCATTAGCCGTGGTTAACTATGACATTAGGACGTACAACACCTCAGTGCCCTTCGTGACCATGGGTGCTATAAACTAAGTTAATTACGCGACACAATCCGTAGAAACTAGTTTTATTTAATTTTATACTTAAATATTATAAATGTTTTTTTTTATTTTTAATAAAGTAAACGAATTTCACTCGATGTCAGGTCTAATGTTTA